TGTCACAGGGCATTGTGATAAACAGGAATCGGCACCCAATAAATGCAGAAGAGCCATTTGAGTCAGTATAATGTATGCAAGCAAAATTATTATGTTATATTCAATAAAAAATAGCCAGAGACAGAAAGTTTTGCACAAAGAGCATCTGGTAAACAGCCTTTTTCATGTCTTTTCACAGATTTTCTATTTGATTTAGGTTTGTGCCGTTAGGGCCAAAGAGTCAAAATTATGACGCACTTGACCAAAGCACCTTCTTCCACATGGTAGATGTGGAAGAAGATGACTTCTGGCCAGCTCAGCGGCAGCTCTTCCAGAGTCATCTTGGGGCACTTGTTTGCCTTTGTGACCAGTGCTCTGTTAGTTTACGCGGACAGCCATGTCTTTGTAAGTTTGCAGTGGTGCCATAAGCCTAGTGTTTAGTCGTGTGACGTCACAAGGATCACCGCAAGGCCCTTGCGTAGCCTTCCGCGCCCCCTCGAAAATGTCTAACTACGCAGCCGCCGCCGCAGAGAAGCTCCGCTGTGATTGGTCCGTGTGTGTGTTTTGGACGGAAGCATGGAGCGGCTGACTCCAGACCAGATAGCTTCGTGCTTTGAAGGCTCTGAAGGAAAAGTAGTTTGGGTTCATGGCTCAGCGCCTGATATACAGGAGACTGGACTGTTCAGTTCTGTTGTATATCCAACTTATAAACTGTACAGTGGTTTGCACTGTTCCTGTCTTCTGAATCTGCACTCGTAGCTTATCGCGTCTGTTCCATTCCTCCTGCACTTCAAATCGTTCATGTTTGGTCTCAGATATTTACCACTTATTGTTTTTCTGCTTGTGGTGAATGAAATGTAATAATAACTATGTTTCCAACAAGAACTAAGTCTTTATTCACAGCATCAGTTGAAATGACTTAATATGAAATAAATCTACACTAGCTATACATGTAATGAGCTCAAGCAGCTTGGTTTGCTAATGCTTTTGTTCTGAGGAGGAGAAAGTAGCAGCGTAAATGAGACTGCTTTGGTCTCTCTGGCAACTCCTGTGAGATCGCCATCATGTGGTTGGATGTGGGATTACAACATTCTCTTCAAAACTCCGCAAGGGGAACGCGAGAGTGTACCAGCAGCTGTGGCTGCGTTACGTCCAGCGCAACTGCAAACGTAACCAGCGCCGCGTGTACCCTAGGCTATACTCTTTCCGTTTCTGAATGATGGATCGAACAGTGCTCTGTGGAATGTTCAAATCATGGGAAATCGGTGACCTTATCTACAACTTTATCCCCCACCTCTCTGGTGTGCTCTTTGGCCTTCATTATCTTGTTAAGGTCACTTAACAAAAGTGAATACACTCCGAGCATAGCTCTGAGGCCCTCGCAGGACACAATTACAAATGTTATTAAAATGTATTTTATTTTGATCAGACTCTTCTCCAAACACAATTTAACAAGTAGTCCTGTTGAATCAAATCAATTGCAACAATAATATTTAAAGGTACACTGTGTAGTTTTTACTCCCATTTAGCGTTGAGATCATATATTGCAGTCCCTTGTCACTACGAGGGCTGCGAAGGACAATGTTACGTCATTGACAATGGTCCCCAACTCCCGGTCATTCGAACCGAGGCCATTAGTCCTTTAGTTTGATAAATGAACGGATCTCCCCGCACTCGCGCAGAGGCTGAAATGTTAACAAAGTCTGCGAACTGAAGCTGTAGCCGCTACATAGAGGCTCTGGGGTCGAAGCCAGAACACTGCCTTGGACATACATCGTTTCATACACACACAGCAGAACAGTGGCTAAAAGATCAGCTTTCACCACGGGGTTGCCTCTGCATCACCAGGTGAGAAAACTCAGGCGTATTCTGGCGTTTTGTTTGCGGGGGATTCTGTGTGTTTTGCATATTTGAGGATTGTCCCCTGAATAAGTTCAGTTGAAACTTGTAGTTGGACTGCTCAGAACATCCCGAGACCGTTGCAGATTCTGCCTCGTTCTCATTACTGTCAGTGTAAAGAAAGTTACGTATTTTTCAGATGTATGTCTGTTGTGTATAAAATACACAATGTGCCTCCTGTTGTTTTAACTCTGCCTTTTGGTGCGTGTGGTTTGCCATGTTGACACGTTGCTGATATGACGCGGGTTTTCAGATTTTTTGCATAATTCTTTTTCTAAGAGATTCTCGTTCAGTAGTTCTTTTACATCACTTTGGTCCTCCATGATCCCTTCTTCAAACTCGTGAGGGCACGGTAAAAGCAACAATATTAGTAGCGAAACGAAAACATGATTCTTTCATCCTTTTTGTCCCTTATCAGTCAATGTATTTAAAGATGGTGCTTTAACATGGAGATTCCTCAGCTCTCATGGACATTTATAAGTCAATTACTAAATCTATGACAATTCAAAAAATGGTGGCAGGAAATACTCTTAAAAAGGTCGCATTTGTTATTGGTTAACATTTGGAGCAATTGTTGAAATTACACAGAGTACAGTGAAGGGCTGTATACAGGATTTGTTCCACTTTTTTAAAATGGAAATCCTCTCACTTTAGGAGCCACTGTTTTAGGGCAAGGTGTGAACCGTCAACCTTTTGTTTAGAAGAGAAGATGGATTTGGAACCAATCCAAGTGGTTTTAGGCTTTAGACCATGTAAGGCATCGACAGTTTCATAGAAAAACACAAATTACTTTCTGATTATCAGTTTGGTTTTAGAAACAATCATTCAACTTCACATGCGCTTTTTGACATCATTGAAGATATAACTAATACTCTAGACAACAGGAAATATGCAATAGGATTACTCTTTGACATAAGTAAAGCCTTTAATGCAATAAACCATGAGCTATTAATCAATAAACTGGAACATTATGGGGTCAGAGGGTAGCTCTGTTATTTACAAGATAGAAGCACTTTGTGAGAATGGGTGAATATCAGTCGACTTGTCGAGAGATTGTTTGTCGATTACCTCAAGGTTCAATTTTGGGTCCAAAATTCTTAAATATGTTCATCAATGGTATTTGTAAAACCTCCCAAATACATAAATGTATGTTTGGCAAAAGCCAAGCATACTTTAAAGTTTAAACATCAGAGCTCTACACACACTATACTGCTCTTATTTTGCCCTATTTAAATTACTGCACTGTAGTATGGGGTAGTACCTATAAAAATACTTTGAAGCCGTTGGTAATATTGCAAAAAAAAGAAGTGAGATTAATTCATAGAGCCGGAGTTTTGGACCACACAAACTCCTTATTTTTACAATCAAAAATAAGTTTTACAACATTTTTGAGTTTGTCAGTACAGATTTTATACAAAGCAAGGTACAAGCTGTTACAAAAGCAAATACAAAGTAGATTTCTAGAGCGTACTGGATGTTATGGAGAAAGAGGGGAACTAAACTTTAAATCTCAGAAACATAGAACCACTTTGAGTTAATGGGGTACAACTGTGGAACCAATTAGAGACAGAGATGAAGCAATGCCCAAACATTAACTTGTTCAAGTATAAATACAAACAAAAGATTTTTGAATAATATAGAGAAGTGTTGAGTCGCCACCAGGGGGCGCAGTGCAATCAATCAATAGCTTATTGTTCAAGGTTGAGTGTTGCTGCTTGGAACAGAACTCATTTCTATTGTTCACTTTATAATAAGGAGAATTAGGACGAGCTGTGCACCCCTTGCATCACACAGTATAGAAAGATAAGACCATTTAAAGTCTCATTTATAAAAGCAGCTGATAGGGCAGCTGGGTCTGTTGATGAGGAGTCACTGCCGTCTCCAACTGGCTTTACACTCTGGCTTTTTATCACACAACGCTACATAGGGTCACTGCCTATTCTGTAAAAAATACTCTACTTTCTATCAGCAACATCTCTTCTTTGAGCGAAATGGGTTTAATCTGTTCACAGTAACTTGTTGTCAGTTTATCTAAAATAACTACTGTATATAGGGATTTTGTGTCTCTTACTTTCTGGAGATCTGTCTTAACCAGACTGTTGTTGTGTCTCACTCTGATCATAAGATGAACAGTTGAAATTAGTGTTACTGAAACTGCCTTGAAACATAAACTTAAATTCAATGTTGTCCTTTTGTCAGTGAGGCTCTCTGGTCTCTCTCTGGTCTCTCTCTGGTCTCTCCCTGGTCTCTCCCTGGTCTCTCTCTCTGGTCTCTCCCTGGTCTCTCTCTCTGGTCTCTCCCTGGTCTCTCTCTCTGGTCTCTCTCTCTGGTCTCTCTCTGGTCTCTCCCTGGTCTCTCTCTCTGGTCTCTCCCTGGTCTCTCCCTGGTCTCTCTCTCTGGTCTCTCTCTCTGGTCTCTCTCTCTGGTCTCTCTCTGGTCTCTCTCTCTGGTCTCTCTCTGGTCTCTCCCTGGTCTCTCTCTGGTCTCTCTCTGGTCTCTCTCTGGTCTCTCTCTGGTCTCTCTCTGGTCTCTCTCTGGTCTCTCTCTGGTCTCTCCCTGGCCTCTCTCTGGTCTCTCTCTGGTCTCTCTCTGGTCTCTCTCTGGTCTCTCTCTGGTCTCTCTCTGGTCTCTCCCTGGTCTCTCCCTGGTCTCTCTCTCTGGTCTCTCTCTGGTCTCTCTCTGGTCTCTCTCTGGTCTCTCTCTGGTCAGTGAAGTCAATATCATGACATATTCTTAACTCTGTAGATTGTTGATTATTCTATAATTCAGGATGTGCAGATGTAGCTCTTTTGTGCGTCTTTGTATCCTTGCTCGATACAATTTTCATTATAATATGTACATTTTGATTGTAATTTACTTTGGGGGTGTGGTGCTAATAAGCTCCACTCCTTTTGTGCAGTATTAATACTGTTCAAATAAATAAATAAATATATAATCATAATTCTGATGTTAGCTTACCTTTGTCATCAGTCTTTATAGAACATAATCTCAACAACAAAGACATCTTGGTTGTTCTTCCAAGACACCCTGCAGTGGGTCAATATAGATGACACCCTCTGGTTTTATACAATTATTTCACCTATAAATGGGTATGTATCTCATGGTCCCGTGTGTGTCTGCAGCTGGGGGACTGGCTGTGTGAGAAGATGCTGATGGCGCGGGACGGCAGCCGAGACGAGGGACAGAAACTGCACAAGAAATGGCTCAAGCAGCAGGCCTTCATGGCAGAGCTCAACCAGAACCGGGAGTGGCTGGACAAGATTGAAAAGGTGAGAGCCGGGGCCGCTACAACACATGGTTACCGTGATCACAACACATGGTCACCGTGATCACAACACATGGTCACCGTGATCACAACACATGGTCACCGTGATCACAACACATGGTCACCGTGATCACAACACATGGTCACCGTGATCACAACACATGGTCACCGTGATCACAACACATGGTCACCGTGATCACAACACATGGTCACCGTGATCACAACACAACCAGCATCATCGTGATCACAACACATGGTCACCGTGATCACAACACATGGTCACCGTGATCACAACACATGGTCATCGTGATCACAACACATGGTCACCGTGATCACAACACATGGTCACCGTGATCACAACACATGGTCACCGTGATCACAACACATGGTCACCCTGATCACAACACATGGTCACCCTGATCACAACACATGGTCACCCTGATCACAACACATGGTCACCGTGATCACAACACATGGTCACCGTGATCACAACACATGGTCACCGTGATCACAACACATGGTCACCGTGATCACAACACATGGTCACCGTGATCACAACACATGGTCACCCTGATCACAACACATGGTCACCGTGATCACAACACATGGTCACCGTGATCACAACACATGGTCACCGTGATCACAACACATGGTCACCGTGATCACAACACATGGTCACCGTGATCACAACACATGGTCACCGTGATCACAACACATGGTCACCGTGATCACAACACATGGTCACCGTGATCACAACACATGGTCACCGTGATCACAACACATGGTCATCGTGATCACAGCACATGGTCACCGTGATCACAACACATGGTCACCCTGATCACAACACATGGTCACCGTGATCACAACACATGGTCACCGTGATCACAACACATGGTCACCGTGATCACAACACAACCAGCATCATCGTGATCACAACACATGGTCACCCTGATCACAACACATGGTCACCCTGATCACAACACATGGTCACCGTGATCACAACACATGGTCACCGTGATCACAACACATGGTCACCGTGATCACAACACATGGTCACCGTGATCACAACACATGGTCACCGTGATCACAACACATGGTCACCGTGATCACAACACATGGTCACCGTGATCACAACACATGGTCACCCTGATCACAACACATGGTCACCGTGATCACAACACATGGTCACCGTGATCACAACACATGGTCACCGTGATCACAACACATAGTCACCGTGATCACAACACATGGTCACCGTGATCACAACACATGGTCATCGTGATCACAACACATGGTCACCCTGATCACAACACATGGTCACCGTGATCACAACACAACCAGCATCATCGTGATCACAACACATGGTCACCGTGATCACAACACATGGTCACCGTGATCACAACACATGGTCACCGTGATCACAACACATGGTCACCGTGATCACAACACATGGTCACCGTGATCACAACACATGGTCACCGTGATCACAACACATGGTCACCGTGATCACAACACATGGTCACCGTGATCACAACACATGGTCATTGTGATCACAGCACATGGTCACCATGATCACAACACATGGTCACCCTGATCACAACACATGGTCACCGTGATCACAACACATGGTCACCGTGATCACAACACATGGTCACCGTGATCACAACACAACCAGCATCATCGTGATCACAACACATGGTCACCCTGATCACAACACATGGTCACCGTGATCACAACACATGGTCACCGTGATCACAACACATGGTCACCGTGATCACAACACAACCAGCATCATCGTGATCACAACATATGGTCACCCTGATCACAACACATGGTCACCCTGATCACAACACATGGTCACCGTGATCACAACACATGGTCACCGTGATCACAACACATGGTCACCGTGATCACAACACATGGTCACCGTGATCACAACACATGGTCACCGTGATCACAACACATGGTCACCGTGATCACAACACATGGTCACCGTGATCACAACACATGGTCACCGTGATCACAACACATGGTCACCCTGATCACAACACATGGTCACCGTGATCACAACACATGGTCACCGTGATCACAACACATGGTCACCGTGATCACAACACATGGTCACCGTGATCACAACACAACCAGCATCATCGTGATCACAACACATGGTCACCCTGATCACAACACATGGTCACCGTGATCACAACACAACCAGCATCATCGTGATCACAACACATGGTCACCCTGATCACAACACATGGTCACCCTGATCACAACACATGGTCACAACACATGGTCACCGTGATCACAACACATGGTCACCGTGATCACAACACATGGTCACCGTGATCACAACACATGGTCACCGTGATCACAACACATGGTCACCGTGATCACAACACATGGTCACCGTGATCACAACACATGGTCACCCTGATCACAACACATGGTCACCCTGATCACAACACATGGTCACCGTGATCACAACACATGGTCACCGTGATCACAACACATGGTCACCGTGATCACAACACATGGTCACCGTGATCACAACACATAGTCACCGTGATCACAACACATGGTCACCGTGATCACAACACATGGTCACCGTGATCACAACACATGGTCACCGTGATCACAACACATGGTCACCGTGATCACAACACATGGTCACCCTGATCACAACACATGGTCACCGTGATCACAACACAACCAGCATCATCGTGATCACAACACATGGTCACCGTGATCACAACACATGGTCACCGTGATCACAACACATGGTCATCGTGATCACAACACATGGTCACCCTGATCACAACACATGGTCACCCTGATCACAACACATGGTCACCGTGATCACAACACATGGTCACCGTGATCACAACACATGGTCACCGTGATCACAACACATGGTCACCGTGATCACAACACATGGTCACCGTGATCACAACACATGGTCACCGTGATCACAACACATGGTCACCGTGATCACAACACATGGTCACCGTGATCACAACACATGGTCATCGTGATCACAGCACATGGTCACCCTGATCACAACACATGGTCACCCTGATCACAACACATGGTCACCGTGATCACAACACATGGTCACCGTGATCACAACACATGGTCACCGTGATCACAACACATGGTCACCGTGATCACAACACATGGTCACCGTGATCACAACACATGGTCACCGTGATCACAACACATGGTCACCGTGATCACAACACATGGTCACCGTGATCACAACACATGGTCACCCTGATCACAACACATGGTCACCCTGATCACAACACATGGTCACCGTGATCACAACACATGGTCACCGTGATCACAACACATGGTCACCGTGATCACAACACATGGTCACCGTGATCACAACACATGGTCACCGTGATCACAACACATGGTCACCGTGATCACAACACATGGTCACCGTGATCACAACACATGGTCACCGTGATCACAACACATGGTCACCGTGATCACAACACATGCTCACCGTGATCACAAACACATGGTCACCGTGATCACAACACATGGTCATCGTGATCACAACACATGGTCACCCTGATCACAACACATGGTCACCGTGATCACAACACATGGTCACCGTGATCACAACACATGGTCACCGTGATCACAACACATGGTCACCGTGATCACAACACATGGTCACCGTGATCACAACACATGGTCACCGTGATCACAACACATGGTCACCGTGATCACAACACATGGTCACCGTGATCACAACACATGGTCACCGTGATCACAACACATGGTCACCGTGATCACAACACATGGTCATCGTGATCACAACACATGGTCACCGTGATCACAACACATGGTCACCGTGATCACAACACATGGTCACCGTGATCACAACACATGGTAACCGTGATCACAACACATGGTCACCGTGATCACAACACATGGTCACCGTGATCACAACACATGGTCATCGTGATCACAACACATGGTCACCCTGATCACAACACATGGTCACCGTGATCACAACACATGGTCACCGTGATCACAACACATGGTCACCGTGATCACAACACATGGTCACCGTGATCACAACACATGGTCACCGTGATCACAACACATGGTCACCGTGATCACAACACATGGTCACCGTGATCACAACACATGGTCACCGTGATCACAACACATGGTCACCGTGATCACAACACATGGTCAGGGTGGAGAAGCTGTGAGGCCACACTTCCTTGGAATGACCTCCTGGTGTGCGCACAAGTGGTCAGGACTGATTGAACTCATGTAACCAGGAAAACTAATGTAGTACCAGCTCGCCCACTCGCCATGTTGTCTGTTTACAAAATTCTGCGCATGCCCAGTTCCCGTCACGGAAGTTTGGGCTTGATCCCGTCATTGCGTCACAGCGCCACCAACAGGTCTGGCATAGTTTCACAGCGTTTTCAGGCGTATTGACTACATTCATATGGACGCACACATTTACTGAGCTAACTCCGTGTTTACAGAAAAAGTTTCTGAAATTATAAGCGTTTTGTCTTCGTGTGGATATAGTCTAAGTTAAACATCATTAATCCCATCAGTTTACAATATGAAGCCGTCGTTGCCTTTGGTCCAGTTTTGTTTTGAGCCAGGCATCTTTACTCATTTTGTTAAAAAAAATAGCTATACTGTTATTCGATAAAAATGAATGTTTGATCAAAACAAAAACAAGTACAAATGTTCTCTACTGTTATTATTTAAGAATGAGAAGACAGGACGGTTTGAAAAGTAATTATGATTAGTTTATCAACTCAGGTGCTAAACTGTGGGTGCATAGTAAAGTAAAGCATGTCATCATTTTAGTGATTTCATTATTTATCTGCCTGTGCATCAGAGATATTATATTTGTACACACGCAGTAGCTCAACTATGTCCTTATATACGTCTCTGAAAGGCGTGTATAAGGACTTTTGTCAAACATATCACCCCACATGTACAGAATACTGAGAC